CAATAATTCAAAAACAGATTCTACACACGTACTTTACCTTATAGATCACAATCATTCTTTTAACGACGAATTTAAAATTCTTCACATTCAAAATAAAGGCCTTAAGCTATCCTTGTTAGAATCTATGGAAATCAACAAATTAAAAAACACAGATATAATTCTGAATGACCAACTTGAAACAAACAGTTCTCCCCCCTCCACCTATTTCATTAGAGACTATAAAGTGTAGACGCATGCCAAAAATAGATCACTTGAGAAAGGCAATCAGCCGAAACAGCTGTAGTGATAAGAGTTAAAATCAATTTTTGTGGAAGTTTGAAAACAAAGTTTTCAGTGTTTTATTGTTACATAAAATGAATTTCCATCAAGTAACGGTCGAATCCATCAATTAGTTTCTTAATGTATTTTTTCCATCTGTTTATTTTATCCAAATCGGTGATAATCAGTTTGCCATCTCTATCAACGATGTTGTGTGTTTGTTTTTTGTACTGACCTGTTACTTCTATTTAATGGATGCGAAGACGAGATACGTCAACGCCTTACAATGGCCAGATTAGCAACCGTCAAACTTACTAAAATCTGGAAAGATACGGACATAACCAGGAACACGAGACTCATAATACGGATGCTTATCTTTCCTATTGCTACCTATACGTCAGAAACTTGGACCATTAAAAAGTCCGACTCACGACGTTTAATGACTTTTGAAATGTGGGTATATTGTACAATGATGTGCATACCCTGGACAGCACATCGCACAATTGTCTCAATATTGACAGAACTCGACATTAATTCCTTTAATCCACAATTTATTATTAATCAAAATCTTACCACAATCATTAATCAAAATATATTGAGGTACTTTGGATACATTACCAGATGAATGGAAGGCATGGAGATGTTGGTGGTTAAAGGCAAGGTAATTGGTAAAAGAACTCGAGGAAGATCGCCACTCCGATAGTCAGACCAAATAAAGTGCGGAGGAGGAGGAGTTACTTATTTTATTTTTTTATAGATTCTAAATGCATCATACTTTCCCTATCACTCTTCAATTACCAAACATTTATTTTTGATGTATGTTTTTTTCCTTCTCGTATTTTAGTCGTTGTCTCCTTATTATTTCGTTTATATATTTGAAGGTATTTATTCTTACATATGCGTATTTTGTTTATTAGATTCAAAATCCCAGCGTTCATTAAGTGTTTTTTTTCCATTGTTATTTTCCAAGTTTGGAGTTTTGAGTATAATCGTTTTGATTTGGTTTAAATGACCCTTGATAAATTATTGTTGTTCTTTGTTCTTAAAATGATTCTCTAAATTGTTTGCAATCACCTCACTGTTGTTTTTAATAAAATCCAAATCCAATTTGTTAGAATTTCGCTGTTGTTTTAACCGTTTAAGCTTTAGTTTTAATTCGGTCAATAACAGACTGTGGTCAGATGGATCATCAGTACCAAAAAAGTTTTTACAGATTTTACTGCATTTCTGTAGCGCTCACTAATTGTTATTTGGTGAATTTGATTTTTTACGATATTTGAGAGGTATCTGCTGCAGATTTCCATGTACATAATTTCGGTTAAAGTAGTTTGAAAAATGTATTAATTAGACATAGATTATATTCTTCGCAAAAATCTACGAAATATTCTGTCATATTCAAATATTATGTTCACCATTCTGTCATACAACAGAATGATGAGATCTCTAGTCTGGAGTTGGTCACTAGCAGTTTTTACATGCGTAGAACTTCTTCAAGTTCTTCTAGTTCACTTTCCGCAGTCGGTGGATAACACTTGTATTTAATTTATGTTTCTGGGTTCCGCGTTTAACTAATTCATAACTCGTTTAGATACCTGGCATAAAGCGCTAACATATTTGATAATCTCCGTTGAGACTGTGAATCCTACACCATTACGAAAATAATAATTGCTGTCTTCTCCTGAATAATATACTTCATGGTTATACACATTGCATTGGCCAGATCCGGGCCACCTCATTTCACTTATACCCAAAATTGGTATGTGCAGTCTTCTCATCTCATTTATTCTAATATATATTTTTTCGGGTTCATATAAACTCCGCCCATTCCATGTGCCTATTCTACAACTCATTTCGATATCAAATTGGACCAAGCGGGAGATTCGTCGCACTCCTGCCTTATTTAAGAGGCGCCCGTAGTCGGGTCTATCAATTAGTTCCTTAGCCATAACGATATTCCTGATAAAAATAGTGTAGTAGTCATTCCCTTGGCTTTTAAAACCACAGTATACATGCCGTGTAGGTGCTTGCCACCGCACTGGGTACTGTTATGTATTTATCGTACTGGTCTACATGACTTCCGCTCAATACAAATACTGAAAAACCAAATGCCGATTTTTAGGTTTAATTTTATTCAAGCGCTAAAGCTTTCTTCTTCGCCGTTGTGGACTTCTTCCGTAATCTTGGACAATGGACCCTTAATAGATACTAGTTTACCGGGTCAAGAAACACCTAAAAAATATCGAGCACAGCTTATTAATTAAATCTTGTCCAAGTACTTTCGCTTCCTAAAGCATTTTGAGAGGCATCTGAAATAAGCCAGGAAACAGTTTTTTTAACTGAAGAAAATTTATTACCTTCGACAAAAAGCAAAAAGGTAATGATTGTTAAAAGTTTTTATGTGATTAACGTTTCAGACTTACTTCATCAATTTTGGCCTATCCAACCATCATAGAATGCCATAAACATAAAATTGTATATTACACAATGTACAATTTTGGCTTATTAATAAATAAAATATCTCGGTCACTATTAGTTTGAAAGGAACCTTTTGTTTCAATTTTCGGATAGTTCTTTGCCTGGGCGTACTTTCTAGCGCTTTGGACTATAAGCATCTTTTATTACTTTACCAAAATCTTTGTGTCCTTGAGGTTCTTTTGCTTTTCGTCTAGTCGTTTACGGTAGAGGAACTGCACACTATCTTGCATAAGGATGTGTAAATTTTAGTCTATTTAATTGAATCTAATCATTATTATTTATATATGAGACGAATATTATCGCTCTTTCAGGGCTGATCAAACTCACTTATTTTTACTTTTATCAGTCTCCCGTTATTGTGTTGCATATTTATGTACGATAACCTATGGTTTTTTGTCTTTCTCCCACACTTTTAATATTAAAATCTTATAATAGCGTTAGTTTGCGTATATCGACAATTTTCTAGATATCAAGTTTGTATTTTTTCGATATTTTGGAAATTAGTTTTGCATTTTAGTTAGTTTTCACCGCCGGTTTCGATTATCACTTACTCCATCGTATTTATCATCGCAAAAAATACAAAAAAAAACGTATGTGTTATGCCCTTTTATTAAACTGCTTTATAAATATATATTATGGGCAATTGTTATATACTACATAACTAAGTTCGTGCTTTGTGAACTGGAAAAAGCTACTTCGTTTTCTTAGTGAATTATCCTCAATAGAAGCATATAGATATAATACGATGATCGACGAACCTGAAACATTAAATGTTATCATAATACTATAACATACACGATAAGTCAACACGCATGTTCTTGCATTTCTCTCGCACACCTGTGACGTAAGCCCGAGACAACTTTAATGATGAAAAGTTAAATACTCTATCTGTGTTCATGTTAATTATGTTGCTGTGTTAATCGAGTTTGCTATCCTGTGTGCTTCAAAACGTAATGAATGAGATTTTTATTAATTCATTGATGTAGTAAAGACTTTGTGTCTTCAGACAAAGACAAGACTTTTAGTAGTCTAAAGACTACTGTGTTTAATATAACCTAATGTGTTTATCGTACGCAAGTTCCTCTCGACTACCTGTAGCTTCGTTATAAAGAAGACTAATTATTTATTTACCATAATGTATTGTGCAGTGGTGGATTGTTCAAACAATAATAATAAAAATAGTAAAATTTTTCGAAGTGGAGTTTTTTTGTGTTTCCTAGTGACAAACAAATGCGTAAAGTATGGGTCTACAAGTGTTTTCAGCGAGACAAAATTAATGTATAAATCGCGAGAATATGCTCAAAACATTTTACAGAAGCTGACTATTGTTTACACGAAAAACTATTGGGATTGCCTGAGAAACAGTGGTATATTACTACTAATAGTATAATTAATTGTAAAATTGTCACTGAAGAGATCTTTTCCTCGCTAAACCTTCCTTGTGGTGATACAGAAATTAACCCTGAAGATTTAATTGACGGTCATCAAGATTTTATTAATTCTAATACGAAAGCCCTGGAATAGGACGGATTGAAAAATTTAGCCGGTTTCATTGCATTTAAGTTACAAAAAAGAAAAAGAAATACTTGGATACATTTTGGACCCTAACGGTAAATCGTTTACTTAGGTAAACCACGTTTCTGAGGGTGGTTTACTCATACCAACAATGGAATTTGTAACTAAATTTAGTGAACTGGAATATATTTTTCGTAGTTATAATGGCAACTCGTTAAAAATAACTCAAAATTATTTAAAAAACCTAATAGAAGCTGCAAAATATGTAAGTTTTAGCGAAGATGTAAAATTACTTTTTTTTAGATGTAAAATTTTTTAAAGATAATTACCATATCTGCAAGATTGTAAAATAAATTTCTAAATGATATTCATAAAGTCTAAAGTATGACACGCTTTTCCTAAAATGATAGAGAAACTGTTTTTAAAGTTTTTCCGTACAATTTTTTAAAACCTATCTTGTACACAAACCTTTTCATAATAATACCACACACAACAAAAAATAATTATCTAATTTGGTACAGTCGTGCTGTGGTAAGTATTTGATCTTACATATAGTTTACTCTCAATATTAATCCCAAACTCTGATTTTATGTGTACTAAGGCGATCCGATAACTACTTAACCTACAAAAGATAAACAAAAATTTTGGAAAAGTGGCGATTTAATTCTCAACATAGTCTACTTTAAGGTCGATACACTTGACCCAGAGACGTTTTAAGTTATTTACACGTCTGGAAAATATGTTTTCTTGAGGTCTGTAAAATGGGCTTTCGTGGCGACGCTGACCTTGCGTTACGATTTAAATTTCTGCCCGGCGAGTGCCTTTTTCAAGTTTGGAAACAAAAAAGACATAAGTAGATACTCTATACCATTCCTGGTGCACTTTGTGGTGGGAGAAACCGGTTCCAATCAAGGTCGAGGTCAAGGTCGATGTCAAGGTCGAGGTCGAGGTCAAGGTCGAGGTCGAGGGCAAGGTCAAGGTCGAGGTCAAGGTCGAGGTCAAGGTCAAGGTCAAGGTCAACGTCAAGGTCAATGTCAAGGTCAGGGTCAAGGTCGAGGTCAAGGTCAAGTTTGAGGTCAAGATCAAGGTCAAGTTAAAGGTCACGCAAAGGTAAAGTGTAAGGTAACGCAAAAAGGTAAGGTAAAGATAAGGTAAAGCGCAAGGTAACGCAAAAATCAAGTTCAAGGTCACGTGAATGACATTAAAGGTCATGTCATGATCTAGTTCCAAGTCACGGCGACAGCTAATGTTAGGAAAGGTTATTAGTATAATAAAACTCTTAATAAAAAAATAATACCTTCTTAATTATTTATTACACTGTTATACATGTTTTTTAAATTTTCAAGCGCAGACTTACACAAATGACAACTGGATTGTGCCGGTGCTGAACCTTCAAGCTCTGTTCTCCACTCGGGACGATTAAAATGTACAAAACATGGCAGACGAGTCTGAACTTCAAAATCTTGAACTGCTTTTGCGGGTAATTTATACCAAGAATGAAGTAATTCCACCGGTTCCACACATTTTCTAAAGTATGGTAGGGTAAAGTTTTCTAATTCTGCTTCAGTGAACTTGTACAAAGGTTTTCGCGGATGTTGAACCATTAATTTAGCTTTGTGACAACACTCCATTGCTACTAACCTGTTAATATTGTTAAACGTCAAGTGTACTTTCTTTTTATTTATGTAAATCAAGGTCACCTCTATGCAGCAACTAAGGCATGCGCAGTGTTTAAAATGTAAACTACATAAATTGAGGATTGTAAAAGTGATGTTTAGTAACATTTAGTTCGTCGTAATATAAGTTAAACAGTAAATAATTTTAAGTGGATTAGTAAAATTTTGTTCGTCGTGAGATCAAAAAGGTAATAAATATTTTTCAATCAATATTGTTGCTAACATTATTAATTTTAGAATTTAGTCATGGATGCGTGTTTAGATGATACAAAATCTCTCAACGTAGCTGAAGCTGTCCGAAATTTGCAATGGGTATTTAATGAAAAGGCATACGATTTTGAATACGAAGCCGAACGAGCTACCATAAGAACAAGAAGCTATACGGTAGAAGAGTGTAACGAAAAATCAGCAATATACCATACGGGAGCGAGAATCTGCGAAGATTATTTATCTGATTTAATTTGCATGTGTTGCTTTTTTAAAAAAATAAAAAATCTAGGGCTGATTGATTTCTTACATCAAATCAAAGATGTTCTACCCAAACCCTGTTTTGAAGATGAGGGGGTAGATACTGTAAATACATGTAAATACAATAAATAAATAATATATTTTATTTTGTAGTTTTCATTTCTACACAACATATCGTTTAAACAAGAATTGGAGGAATTTATGAAAAAAATTAAAGAACTAAAGGAAAAAATAAAACAAGTCGAAGACAAGCAAATAATGTTTAAATCATTTGGTAAACTACATTTAAGTAAATTTCGCAGAAAAATTAAACCGTATACTATGTAATTTTTGTTTGAATAAATGATTTTAGTACTAATTAGTTGTTTCTTTTACAATATTTATAACTAAGAAATAAAACAAAATAATGTAATATATATTTTTATTTTTGCATTAAAAAAGTATTATACAACCAAAATACATTAGATAAAGCACAAATACATTTTTCACTATTATGATAAAAACAAGCAGGTTCCTTAGCTTCTAATGATGGTTGTTCATCCAATTCGTATAAAGGAACAGCAATGTATTTTTTTAAATAATTTTTCTTTTCCAAACCTTTGACGTAAACTGCATCAGCGTTTTGTGTAATATCCTTTAAAATATTTGCAAAATGATAAAGTGGTGTAAAACCAAAATTCCAATCAATACAGTGATGATTTTTTGTTAACCAAGTTGCCTGTCTGTGTAAATCTGAAGACAACATTCTAATAGGAAACGGAGACTTAAATACATAATGACAAATTTGTGTTCCATTAAAAGCAGCAAGTTCTTTCACTACAAATTTATTATTTTCTATTTTAAACCCTTGAACGTCTATTACCAGATTCATTTTAACAACTAACATTTTGACTATGATGCAGACCTTTTATTGCTGTCTCACAATTTTAGTTAAAGGATTATAAGAGAATTCTTTTTCATGCAATATCAAGCAATAAGCGGAAACATTGTTTCCTACAGACTTACTAGTTTCAAATTCTATTCTTAAAACAACAGAGCCACTTTGAATTATTTCTTTTTGTCTTGAACAATCAGTATGTACTATAGGGGCATACTTTTTAAATTCTTCTGGACTGAATATTGGTTGATTAGTTTGAATATGATAATAAGATTCTTGGAAATTGGCAAACATTTCATACAACGTTGCAAAACGGTTAGTGTCAAAATCTAAGTTGAGATCTTGATAAGGATATCGCTCCGAATTGAGAAACATACGGATATTTGTTAGATTGCAGTGATCAAATTTACTCATATCTTTTAGCATTTTTCCTTTTCGACCATCATGGAAAGCTACTACAATGTGTCGAGGACTTTCTAGCTTTGTAGTTGTTTTTACTGGCCAAGTATGACGTGTTGAATTATTTAAAGTGGGATACTCGACCAATTCCCAACTTCTAAATTTAATAGGTAGTTCTATGTTACTACGAACTATTTTGTTTAATCGCAATTGTTCGCTAATATTGGGTAAAATATGAGGTACATTCCAATATAGTTTATTAATTGCAATTTTTGGTTTTTCTGTTTCATCTGTAGCAATAATAGCATCAATATCATCTTTGTCTCGTATCAAGACTAATTCTTGTCTCATGTTTATTATAATTTTTTGAAAATCTTCGAAAAATCCGGACCAAATTTTTAACGGTATGCAGACGTTAAAATTCCCGTGGTTATCAATTACCAGTTTATCTCCTTTTGGAAACCATCCAGCATTTTGTAATAGTTTACTCTGATTTTCATTAAGCGACAAATAATTTTTCAAAGTTGAAATTAAACCAATATTTCGTACAGAATCGATTATAACACCGTTTAACTCATACCTTAATTCTCTAAATAAATATGAAATACCATTATTAATAAATTGAAATTTTGTTGGAACTTGATTTTTATCGGTTAACATTTGACCTTCAATGTAAATATAACTGTTACATGGTAAAGTATAGGCGTCTAGATCTTGGATAGGAATTCTAATTTCATCATTATAGTTTAAATTTGATGTGTATGGTTGATAAGTGTGATACTGATAATCTTCAATGGTTGTATCGCTGAAAGGTTGACCCAAAACGTGTAACATTTCCATTATATTAAAACTTGATAACCAAGTGATTTCAAAAATTTACGATTTTGAGATGTTAACAGCTTAGATGTTATCCTTCTACTAATTGTTTTATTGAGATGACGTCTTTTATAGGAATGTTTGTTATAATTACTTCGATGAAACTGTAAAACCATTTTACTCAATTTTTCTAAGATGTAGCCGAATAGTAATTGTTTCCTTATTAAAATTAACTAAATTTCCTTGTTGATCTAAAACTCGTACAGTTATGTTGCTTATCGTCTTGTTGCTTACAGGATAATACAAGATGGTTAACGGTTGCTCGACTATTTTATACCCATTCGGAACTTGAGGAAAAAATTGATGAATAATATGCACAGCCTTTCCATTTAAGAAAGATCCAACAGCAATATTACAATCAATACAGATGGTATTAACTTTTAAAATATTTACCACATTCGTGGATAGATGAAGTTTATTTGGTGTAAGTTTAACTCTTTCGAAACCTAGCAAACTTCCTATAGAATTATCAACATCAAAATTAATCCAATCACTACTTTTAATACTAATTCTATTTGTATTTATATCGGGCTTCATACTAATTATGCTAGCGGTTTGAATCATTTCATTTTTAATAATTTTAATAATATCATCAACTTCGTAGGCACCTACAGGAATTTTAAAGGTAAACTCGCTGTTTTTGCCCCACACGAAAACATTATTATGAATATCGACATTTGGAATGCTGTTAAAAGTGTCAAAATTTGCAACACCAATTTCATAATTGAAATTCTCATCAAGATAAATGGGAGGATTATAATCATCACTGAGAATTGATGATTCTCCAGTAAGGGTGAATGTGACTGACATGATGGTTCAAGTATAAATGATACTCGCTAATTAATTATAGTAATTAAATAAAAATCTTAAACAGTTTTGACCACAATTAAAAGAATTAAAATTTTGAATGACATCATAGTTATATGCTATAGTAACGTTTCCATTACTTTTAAAATATCGTACTAATTCAGTAGGAGGAGGTAAATTTCCATAACTATCAAAATAAGTAATTAAAGTATTTTGTTTAGCATATGCAGTCCAATGTGTACCAATTCCGTCTTTAGTATCGTGGTTTACTATACCTGATTCATGTTTTCGTATTACATGAGGTACAGAATCACGCATAAAAACTCCACGAAAATGAGGAATATGTAACAAACCAGCATATTTAACAAGATCTACATCAGTCATTGCTCGTTTAGGTAGCTTTACCGGGAGTTTCTTGAATACGGTTTTAAACGGAAACCTTTGCCGCGACGTTTTATTCCGTAACCTTTGTATGGTCTTAAATAAAACCCCGCTCCTTTTTTCGCTGTTTGTTCCATTACCAAATTATGCCTTTGTTGTTCAGCAAGTTTTTCGCGGTCAGCTTTGGCATCATTAACCGCCTTGGCAATTCCAGCTGCACCTCCCCCAACAGCTCCTAAAGCTCCGAGCAATGGTAACAACAAAGGTAAAAAACCACCTTTCTTGGGAGCTCGAATAATGCGTTTCTTTTTTTTTTTCAAGGCACCTCCTTTTTTTGGTTTTTTAGAAAATCCCATACCCAATTTACGTTTACCTTTCATTGCTGTCGTTACAAACCAAGCTGCAATCTTTTCACCTAGCTTAGCGTCTTTTGATTTTACCCGTTCCCACGCTTTATTTTCCAAGATTTTATCTGCTTCGTGTCTTTCACTTAAATTTTTATGTTGTGAATACGCAATGTCGTGTGTTTTACATGCAGCGTCTAATGCATTAATTCCTTCGTCCCCTCTCTCTAATCTTTGCTGCAAGTG